TCCTCCATCACAGTCATGTCTGTCTTGCATTTTGCTGATGGATTGATAGCCAGTTCCGCTGGTGGAATCACAAAGCTCTTGCTGAGGGGCAACCACATGCCCTCCCCAAGGGTATAGGTGAATCTGCAGGGACACCAGCACCAGTGGTCATGACTGGTAGACAAGCACCCTGCTGGGAGGCCTGGCCCTCTCCCCTAGCTGCATCTTTCTACCCCCAGCGTTCCTCTTCAGAAAGGGAGCTGACTGGCATTGTATGGATGTGATGACTACATCCCAAAAAGGCAGAGTGGTTGACCCTCGTCCACATGACCAGACAGCTGGAGAACTGATGACTGTCCCCTCTCACTTGATGTTAGAAATGATTTTGATCAAGTCATAAAATGCAAGTTTCAGCTTTCTTCAGATTTAAAGCTGGGCTTCCCCTGTCTTGAGTCAGACATAATTGTTGACATTTTAAATGAAGAGAGATGCCAGCCTCCCACCACCCCCAGCCCACAGCTGCAGACTCACAGATGCAGGGATGGCATCTCTGTCTGCTTGGAGGAACCCTAACAAAGAAAGGAAAAGGAAAAAGCTCCCCTTCTCTGGCTTTTGTGTGATGGCTGAGTGTCCAGGGAGGAAAGAAGAGAGGATGAACAGGAACAAAACAGGCCCAGATTTATTCCCCATACTCCTACCACACCCATAGCTAAAGGATATGTACCCTTGGGATACAGGGAAGATTTTTTTTTATTATTCCTATTACTAGGGCTAAAAGGAATAAAAGAATCAATCCGCATTTCAAGGGAAAGCTTAAGAAAACCATGAGAGATTATTTGTTTATTTATTCATTCATTTCATTTCAAAGGCATTCAAATGCTCTATGTTCATAGTCAAAAATAGTCATGGGATAAAAGCCAGTGTGGGTGGGATATCAAGAGGTTGTGCAGTCTGGCATCCCAGTTCTCCTAAGATGGGGGAAGGAACAATGGAAGGATGCTCAGAATTAAATGAAACCAGGCACTGGGCTCTATTAGCATGCAGGCCAAGAGCACCCCTTCAGAATCTTGTGTCTTTCTCCTCCCTAGCCCACACACTTCCCTCTCACCTTCCCAGGCTGCCTGAGATGCTAAGAAACCAGACTAATGACTGGAGACCTTTTATTTTAAAAAATATAGCCCTCTCCTGAATGCTGGCCACAGTGCAGACCCACCAAGTGGATTTCTACCCACGACTCTCTGCACTTGGGCAACTTGAAAGGGTGAGGATATGCCAGCTTAATACAGGGGAGCCCCTGGGCAGAGGCAGAGCCATTAAGAGGGATGTGAGCAGGATTTAGGAGGTTTCTCTCCCATTTCCCACCTGAGTCTTGGTCCTTAGCTTCTCTGACCCATTGGGTGAACCTCTGTTTGAAGCAGAATTAAATTGTCAGAGATCCTTCTTGCTCTGATAGAGGTACTGGAATCTTCCCACCCACAAGGTTGCAGGTCACCCAGTGAGAAGCCTGCAGCAGAGAAGAAAAGCCTATTTCTCAGAAGACAAAAGACTACCCCTTCTATGAAGTAACTGGCAAAATTAAAGGCATAACAGTCCCTTTTTCCCCTCCCTTTCTCTGTCTCTGTCTCTCTCTGTCTTACACACACACACACACACACAAACTTTACCATCTGATAAGACTAAGGAGCCCATTCAAGACAATGATTACCTCAAAGTATCTGGAGTATGGAACTTAAGGACAGATGTGAATTGAAGGAAACAACCTCTAAAAATGTGTATGATTTCACTATGCATTTCATAATGGACATTCTTGAGATGGGAACATTATAAACGGCAGCCTGTGGGTAGGGGGATAACCATCACTCCTATATTGTTTCAGAGAGAACGTCTACTCATTTGAATGGTACCAAAGAGGAGGCAGTTTATTGAACCTAGAAATAAGTTTTTGTTTTCTATTTTAGTTTTAAAATTACAATTTTTGCATTAATGCAAAGCAACAAATCTGTGACCTGTAGTTTACAATTTATGTAACAGAAGTGAAGAAGCTGTTGGCAGTTCTAGCACATTTCTGATGGTTAATTTTTCTTTCAGAAAAGGAGGCTCCATGGCCATCCATCTTAGAGTTTTCCCTTCTTCCACTGCATACAGTAATATTCCTGAAGGAAGAGCACACCACATCTTCCCCTCACTTAAGCTGTTATGGCACCCAATGCCCGCAGGACAAAGTTCCATCCCCCAAAGAGGTCAGCCCCCAATCGCTTCCTCTCCTCCTTCTTTCATCAAATCCTGCTTCCAACTCTGCTCTTACAATGAGATCTGACTGTAGTTCCTGAAGTCGTCCTGATTTTTCTCTCCTCTTTGCTTTTCCTCCTAATATTCCTTCTTCCTGGATTCTCTTCCCTCTCTTCTTTCCTTGACTCCTCATTTTAAGACTCAGTTAAGGCCCTGCCCCTTCCACAAAGAGCCCTTCCTAGGACCTTCATCCACAAGTATCAGGCTGAGCAAGAAACTCTCCTCTGTGCACCTGCACAAAGTCTCTTGCTGCTCCTGAATCCTGAATTGTACTTGTCTTTTCATAAATCCATCACCACTTGCAAGAATGTGCACTCTTGGACAGCAGAAGACAGTCCTGTGTCATCTTAGTATCCTCACTGCTTAACACAATTTCTGGCCCAAGGAGGCCATTCTTTCAGTAAATTGACTGATGAATCAGCAAATGTTGTTAAGTTGTTAAGTCGTTTAGTTTGCACAAGATTCTAGAGGCTGCAACATCAATGTTCAAATTTAAAGGTGGAAGCAGTGGTTAAGATTATCCTTCATGTACAGCAAGATATGGGTTTGCCTCTAGTTTTAAATGGATTTAAAAGTCAAGAAGGATCTGGGTTTGACATTGTGAACATTGTGACATTGTTTCTCTTGGACACTGCACTGGATGGAGTTAACAAGAAAAGCAGTGTTTGATAGGGTCAAGATGAATCCCAGTAGGGGAAGAAAAGTCAGGTGTAGGGGAAACGGAACCTTACTGAGAACTCTCACAGGGGCAGGTACTCTGCACATCTCCCTCATTTATTCCTCCAACACCCCCCCCTTTGATGTTGCTCACTTGCCCCCATTTTACCAACTTACCAACTAATATATTAAGAAAGTTTGTAAGCTCCCCAAGGTCACTCTTCTATAAATGGGAAAATTGGTCTTATTCTCAGGTATGGATCGCAGCAGCTTTCCAGCCCATGCTAGCTCAGGCCTATGAAATTCTAAAGTTTTCTTTCATCTGCAAAATCTACTGAGTAAATCCAAAAACCAAATATAGAACAAACTGTCAGAGAAAAGCTGTGTCCTAAAATCTCATCTGTCCCTCATTCATGCAGATTTGGCAGGAACAACTTCAAAAAGCCACCCAAGAGAAGTTGGGTGAGCGTCTGGAATGCTTTCCTGGGTTGGGCCCTCTCTTGTGACAGCTGGTGGTGACCAGTGCAGCTGATGGCTCAGCTGTATGCTGGTCCTGCACATGGCCCTCTTGAACTAGAGCTTGAAATTTCTGTTCAGAAATAAACATGCATCACAGAGCACTGGAGAGAATAAGCCTGTGCTTTGACCATGGCTTGGCATGAAATGGAATGTGGGAAAACTGAACAATAGCTCTTGACCTGGCATCTCCACTCTTTCCCAGAGGGGGCATTATAGGATGAGATATTGTTCCCAGGAATGTAGGTACTAACTTGGGAGGAAGTTCTCTGAGGGGTCAATTCATCAGAACTGGTAGAATGGAGCACTTCTAGCCATCGCGGAAAGGACTTCTTGAACACTAAAATGGGTTTGATGAGAAGATTTAGTGGGAGGTTCAGAGTCCTCCTGGATCCTTTGAGAAGCTTTGACTCCTCCCAGATTATCTGGCATTTCAGATTACCAAGGTTAGGTGGAACATCAAGGTCTTTTCCTAGTCTGAGTTCACGGGTTCAAGTCCTTAGGATGTATCTGAAAAGTTCATCTACAGGTATCTATTGAAGGCGTGACGTATTCATAATTGTATGTTAGATAGTAAATATTTAAAGCTGTATAGAATACTACTCCTTCTCGCAAGAAGACAACCATTTTACTGGGGAAAAAATAGACAATTTAAAAATAAACATGAAATAAAATAATTGGCAAGTAAATATTAAG